AAATAAGAATGTCAAAAAATACCTTTATGTTTAGGTTTAGGGGTTATAGGTCAAAATATCTTCTTTTTATATATAAGATGTAATTTTGAATATTTTGATATTAATTTAGAGATTTTATTTGAGTTTGATTTGACAGGAAACTGAGTTTGATTTTTCAAGGTATGTTTTGTCAAATTAAAATAAAAATTTTAATATTCTCTCATTATTTTTTTTAGATTTATTTATTTATTGATTTTGGGTAAATTGCACTTACCTCCCTTATGGTTTGGACTTTATTTACATGACTCCCTGTACTTTCAATATAGCACATGACCCCCTTGTATTTTAATATAGACACATAAGTCCCTTGTACAATCAAAAATACCATTGGGGATTTATATGCTTATATATAAATTTAGAGGGTCACATGCACAAAATACAAACTACAAGGGGTTATATGTAAAACTACGTGGGGTTCTAAGAGCTATTTTTGTAAGTTGTAAGTGATGGTGGTGATACACACTGATACGTGTAGTACATGCATTATTTTCCAAATTCCACCGTCTCACCACCTTAGCTTACTTCATATATATATATATATCCTCTTCTTCCTCTTCAACACTCTCTCTCTCCTCTCTCTCTCTCACACACACACACACTTGGTAATGAGATTAGGTGGACCAGACTACAATGGATCACGACCAAGATTCCGCCTTTGCCATGGTTTCCTCTACAACCTCTGCACCACCGTCTCTTCTTGGTCAGTTCTTCTCTTCTTTTTTTATTATTATTTTTTTTCTTTTTTTTAAAAGAATTATTGGAATTAATTGAGACACATTTTATGAATATATTTAAGGGTAAATTACGGCCAACTTCCATGGTCAAATTACGAAAATACCCTCTTGGGTAATTACATTGTTGGGCTAATTACAATTACAGTCAACTATGTATTATCTTAAAAAATACTCTTCGGTGGTAAATTTAGGGATTTTAAATTAGTAAAATCGAACCGCAATTTCAGTACCCTATCATTTCATGCCGTTTAGCCATCATTTCACGCAGTTTGCCATTTTTAATTCAATTTGGTTTAATTCAATTTGTTTCAGTAAATAATTGATGTACATAAATTTTATTTAAAAATATTTAAAAGGAGCCATAAAAAATATTTAAAAGGAGGGATGCCTGTATTTAACTAAACATTACCTAAACATTGAGGGTTTTTTTGTAATTTGTCCATATTTCAGGGTGACCAAAATTTGCACAATATTTAATAATAATAGATTTTGCAGCTTCTATGTATTCTGCTGTTGCTGGCTTCTAGAAGACTGTTTTGGGAGCAACCGTAGTCTTCCTTGGCCTCCTTACGAGTCACCGGAACCACCGCCGCCGCCGCCTCGTCATACTCATTTTGGGCCTCTTTTTGGGTCACCGGAGCCACCACCGCCACCTTATCATCATACTCATGTTGGGCCTGGGCCTCAAGGTTTCTTGGCCTCTGGTTTTGGCCCACCCGGCCCGCCACCACCGCCCGGCCCATATGGTTACCCGGGCGAACCGGCTCCGTTTTGATTATGAATTTCATGTTTTTTCGGTTCAATAAATAGTGTTTTAATTTCCCTTTATTTAGAATTTTCACTGGATTAAATAAATGAATTTATTAATCTATATATTCTCAAATTAAACATTTATATGCGTATTGTTGTATCTATTCAGATTAATATTTTTATTAAAAAATTGGTAATTAGTAAACCTTGTCTTAGCCAACTATGATTTAACTTAATTAATTAGTAAACCTTTTATTAGCCAATTGAAAAAGAAAAATGGAAAAAAATCTTATCCACATTTTATTTATTTATTTATTATTCATTTGCAGCATGTAAAATCTGACTGGTTTTTAAGAATTTGTGGTTGACATGTTGCGCAAGAACTCGAGGCATGAAAATGAGTTGGTCGTTTGCAACTGGGCTTTTTGCCACGTGTCAGATCTTCATTAGACCACACAATAAATTTAGATAATTTGTGGTTGTTCGAATTGGATGGCCCATTTCTTTTCTCTTTTTCCACCTTTGCCTTTTACTTTACATGTCAGCAAAATTTTATCCACTTTTTTTTTTTTTTTTTTTAAATTGTTTTTATCCATTTTTATTATCCAAAGTTGAATATTTTCATTTTTAAATGTTATTCACACGTTTGTGTAATATAGAACTCTTGTGTCAACTGATCTCAGATCGAACTTGTCACAAATAGTTAGTCCAATATAGTTTACATCTTTTGTATAATTTGCAGTTATTATACGAGAGTATCGGATACAGTCGTTAAATCAAATTTGTCACAAATAGTTAGTCTAGAATCCAATGAGATCGAACTTGTCACAAATAGTTAGTCCAATATAGTTTACATCTTTTGTATAATTTGCAGTTATTATACGAGAGTATCGGATATCAGTCGTTAAATCAAATTTGTCACAAATAGTTAGTCTAGAATCCAATGTAGACGTCTCTCGTATCATTTACAAGTTATTATATTAGAGTATGATTTTATGTAGTGCACCTATGCAATTGACTGTGAGTTATATAAATAATGTTAGGAATCAAAACGTGTTGAGCCAACCAATTCATGAATTCAATAAACCTCAAAAAAAAGTTCGAGTTTAAAATTTCAAATTCATTTGAAATAAAATAACTTTTAAGCAATATAAATGAATTCAATAAACCTCAAAAGAAGGTTCGAGTTTGAATTTTCAAATTCATTTGAAAATTAAACAACTCAAGCAATGTGAACTTTGAATCTTCTATTTACCAATATAACATCATACATGTCAAATAACTTTAAACTATAAACTCTAAAATTTTATAATGTAGTGGCTGATAATTCTACTAAATTATCAAAATTTTCTATATCACAAAAATAAATAATAATAAATTATGCGGCTGGCTTTTCCTCTCAATCAAAGAACGACACGTGTCCAATGCAGCACTTTTCTCTTCTACCATACAGACAATTCATCCCATTCCTATATATCTGCATCATATTTCTCCATTCTATTTCAACATATTCTCTCACCATTTCACAACAAGAAATCAATCTTTCTTCTTTCTTCTCTCTTTCTTGATTCAAATCGAATCCCGTTAAAGAGGAATACACCTCTCCATAATTTCATCCACTTTCTTATCCAAATATAAATTTTTTTCGCCTTTTTTTTCGAGGAATCTACCTCGTTTTATCCAAATACCCTTCAAATTTTCAATCTTTCTTACATTAAAAATTTTAAAAATAAAATAAAAAAATTCAATCTTTTTTGCTTTTTCTTGGCTAAAGATTCAATTTTTATTACCCGTACACAGTTTTTCTCATCTGGGTTTTTATTTTTTCGAGGAATCTACCTCGTTTTAGCTTGATTATCCTTCAAATTTTCAATCTTTTTTATACTTCCAAAACCCAAATCCAATCTTTTTGCTATTTTTTTTTTTGGCTAAAGATCCAATTTTTATTACGCGTATACAGTTTTTCTCATCTGGGTATTAATTTTTTTTACAAAAAAAACTATGGAGATTTCAGTAATTGGAAGCTCACAGGTGAATGTTGGGAGGATAATTGATTTTGGGTACTGTAGCTTTAGCAGGAATTCGAATATTAAGTTATTTAATTCAAGGAATTACAATAATTCAAAGGCGTGCAGCAGCAATCTTGGTCGGAATCAAACCCTAGTTTGTCCTTCAAGATCCACCGTTGGTTTCTGTCTTAAAGCATCTGCCTCTGCTCAGAATCAAGCTGTTGTTTCTGAGGAATCTTCAAACATTGCAGAGCCTGTGAGTAATTTTTTTTTTCATTTTTCTTTTATTATATTATATAGATATTTGGATTATTAATTTTCTATTTTATTGTTTGTAAAAAATGGTAGGTAATTTTCTTTTATTATATTATAATTTCCTTTTTCCTCTGGTTCTATGATGTTTTGATAGAGTAATTTGGTTTGATTTTCAGTACTAAATTGATGAGTGGATATTAAAAATCAATAAAGAGATTAATTAATTATTTAATTAAATAATTTTTGTGTCAATTATTTTGCAGATTGAAAGCACGAAATTATACGTTGGTCTACCGTTGGACACGATCTCGAAATCGAATAAAATAAACCATGCTCGAGCAATTGCAGCAGGGCTAAAGGCATTGAAGTTATTAGGTGTGGAGGGTGTAGAGCTCCCACTCTATTGGGGCATAGTCGAAAACGAGGCGATGGGGGAATACAATTGGACGGGTTATCTTGCAATTATCGAAATTGTCCGAAAATTGGGTCTTAAGCTTCATTTATCCGTTTGTTTCCATGCATCCGAAGAAGCCAAGGTTTTGCTCCCACAATGGGTTTCAAGAATCGGTGAATCTGAGCCGTCCATTTACTTCACTGATCGATCGGGGGGTCGCTACAAAGATTGCCTATCGTTGGGTGCGGATGATGTTCCTGTTTTAGATGGAAAGACTCCGCTTGAAGTGTACGCATCGTTTTTCGAGAACTTGAAATCTTCGCTCTCGCCTTTCATGGGTTCCACAATCACCGTAAGTTCATTTTTTTTCGTGGAGTAGAAGTGTGTAAAATGCGTAGTAGTATGTACATATGATATTCCGATTTTCAATTTGATTTTAATTTCCAAAACTATTTTTTGAAACTTACGATTTGCCCCCGGAAAAATACACTTATAATACCAAATTATTATATATTTGATATTTTAGGTTAATAAAAAAATTTGAATTTTCTGAAATCCGGCCGATTCCGATAAAGAAATATCCGTTGTTGGAGCTAGTTTTTTAATTTCAATTTACGAACTTTCCAATTTTTTGAACGGAATTAGAATTAGTTTTTGACTTCCTAAAAAAATCTAATTTTTCAAAAGTGCTAATTCCGATATGATCCGTTCGATTTCCAGCCCTACACATGATTAGATATCATTTTGTAAGTTCACTTGGTGTATC